AAACTCCCTTGCAACGCAATGTACGGAAGGTTGGGCACCAGGCACGAGCAAGTGCCACTCAATTACACAAAGAAAATCTCAAAATTGTCCGCTTACAATAAAATTAAGATTCGCATACGTTACACGACAATCCGGCAGCCCGATTTGTTGGTAGAGGGAGGAGCTCGTGGGACGGGGCGCGAGAGAGAAGGGATTAAATAATGACACGAATTAATTAGAGCAACACCAAAAATATTTTTAATGTCGGCTTGAATCTCTATAGGCGTTTATTTCGATCGCCTTTTCGTGATAGAATACATCTCTCGAATCGCGCAACGATAAAGGGTACAGAAATCCTCACGTTAATTGAGTAAGGCAGCAATGTGATACTCGAAAGACACACGGCAACGACGTGTCCGAACCACGCTTTTGCCAGGTGGTTCGAGCTCACACCAGACGCCGATTTAATTCGCAACAAGTAATCCGATATACCCCGCGAACGACACAGCCATCTCACTCTACAACAATACATTCCATGCGCGGCAACCATATAAACGAGAGTCGTATAAAAAAAAACTACAATTATCTCGACTTTTCGTGTGTAGCGAGAGCGAGAGAAAATTACCGCAACGACTTGACAAGGATCACGAGGGGGGCACGTGGCCAGCTCACCGGATAGACAATGGCGATAACGCAATATTTTCGCGGGGAATGCGAAAGTTTCTTCGAGCCAGCCCCGCGCGATCCTTCGAGTCCGCAGGCGAAATCGACGACTTTACAACGGAACGTTCGCCTCATCAGACGGCAACTCTTTTCCCTCGATCTTCTGTTTCTTCTTGTAGCTTATGATAGCTCCTGTGTTCATGTACAAAAGCTTCGCACGGAAAAGTGATTCGCTCTTGCGAACTCTCGCGGCATCGTGGTGGTCGTCATCCCCTCTCTGCGTATCGATCAGCGCCGCAATCAGCCGCTAGATCCTTTATTTTTCGGCGCGGATCCTAGATGGCTCGCGTTCCGCTGATCCCGCGGGAGATTCGAAGGCGATCCTTTTCGGCCGAGCCGGCGACTTCCGAGGATCCTTCATCGATCCTTTCGGTGAGAGATGGCTGTCTCTCTTAGCTCAAGTACTCGTCCTTGTGCTCTTCGGCTCGCCTTCGTTTGTGTGGGGTCTCCTCGCTATTTCGCGAGGAGTGGCGCCTCCCCTTTTGCTCGCTCTTCAATCCCGCGTTGTATGGATCAGTCCTCTCGACTTCTGAAAATATTGCTCTACAACGAGAACCAGTATGCAGAGAGGGAGTAATTCGGCTACTTAGGGCGATAATTCCTTGGTGGCGATCCTCCATGTATCCAGTCGTCATTGGTCGTCATGACGGGTGGTGATATACAAATCTAGTGGCAGCCGTCAATTTCGCCCCTTTAATCCAGTATTGCGGAAGCTAAATTCGAAACGACAGTAAAGAAGAAAAAGAAAATTCGTGCAATTGCGCACGCAGTTGTCCATAGCTCGCCTGCGCTCTCATCTTTCCAATAGGTGAATGCAGGAATTAGAAATGCTCTGAATTGATCCAGTTAAATCTTGTCACCTCAGGGCGCTACGTCACAATACATACATACATACACACACACACACACACACACACACACACACACACACACACACACACACACACATATATATATATTATATATAATATATTGAGTACTCAGCTAAGAACTCCACGTTGACGATAGCGTACTGTCGCGATGAAAAATAAAGCTCATTCATCCTTGTTCATCTTTATATAAGTGCGGTAATGAAATTTTACGCTATGCTTTATTACATTATTTTGTGCTTAATCATGAAAACGTGAATTGTTTCGTGTTTATCAAATTCGTAAAAACCGAATACAAAAATTATCTTTCGATTTTATATGTGAAAGCATACTTTTTCACTTCTTTCAACAGCTGTCAAATCATGTGTTTTCTGCCAGAATAGGCTTCACTTCATGTACCTTTTACAACTATTTATTGACTGTCAGGAGGGAAAAAGGTTGTAGCATTCAGTTTTTACAAGTGTAAAGTGTAAGTCTTAAAGCCATCTGAAATGTTATTTCATTGCAACATCTCTTTATTTGCAGGAAAAGCAAATTTTACGTGTCGTTTTTCGCTTATGACGTCACGATTCCAATATGGACGTGGCGAGTATTCAGGACTTTTACAATTGTTTATTAAGTTTATTCGTTATTATAAACTAGTATTTTAACAGAATTAAAATTTATTAGTTATTACTTGACATTATTTCAATGATTTTTATAAAAAATATTAAATATTTGAATATAAATAATATATAAATAGATGATTTACACTAGGATTTTATATATCTTAAACACATTGGATAAACTTCAATTCTAAAAATTAGAGTATCATGCTGTAGATATTCGGTTATATCACGTATAAGTATGAAATCTTGATAACCATAGCCACGTTTATTTAATTCACATGTAGGCTTTTGAAACGCCTCTTTCTTTGGTTCTGATGATGTTATTTCGCAGATATTTTTCTCTGAATCTCGTGGATGTACTAACATAAAATACATTGTGCCATTAAATGGCCACTCTAAAGCATCATCATTTTCTGATTTCATAATATGTAAAACTAAAGCAAAATGATCAGGGTATTCATGTGAAATATTAAACCTCGCACAGATCTTGTACCCATTTGGACTTGTATAAAAACCTGGACTATAATAAAACGTTTTTCGAGGCTCATTGGTCATAACCTCGAGTTTTTCTCGAAAAGATTTTAATCTCCATATATAAACTCCATTACAATTTCGTAGACTCATAGCTGCAAGCTGATTTTTCTGATTTGACACTGTTATAGAGAGCTCGCGATTTTCTTGTTCCAAAATTACTATCCTTTCATATAGATTCCTAGAAATAAAATTTAAAATTTTACTCCAACTATATTTATTATGTAAATATAGTATTCGTAAAATCATATTTAAATTACTTGAGCAATTGTTGCCAATCAGAAGAAGGCTCTTCTTTATTTGTAACTTGTGTCTCATTCTTTAAAGGTGGATCCCATAATTTTGATTCCACAGATATTGCACTATTATTATTTTGTACTGTCAAACAATTATATCAATTATTACAGAAAAATTATAGAGAAAAAATTACAGATAAATTATAGAGAAAATAATTTATATTCTTTGATTATATAGAATATACCTTGAAGGTCTCGTTTATTAGGGCATTGAGTGATATGCGTTTCCATATCCACAGGAGATAATTTTACTTGACAACCAAATTGCTGATAAATACAACTTGTACGTTTTTGAGATATTTCTCTAGTGGTATAAAGATCTGGAAAAAGATTCTCAGACTTCAAAGGTTGACTATCAACTGGACAGCAAGCACCTTCTTTCCTGACAATTTATAATGACCATAATTTAGTTCATGTAATGATAAAATCTTGATTAAATAAAGTATAACTTACTCAAGCCAAGAATAAATGCATTGTGAACAGAACTTATGACCACAGGATGTTAGTACTGGATCACGTAGCCATGTTAAACAAATGGGACACTCGAATCTAGGCTCTACATAACCTTTGATGCTATCATCACACTGTATGCAATAAATTGGAGATAAATTTATAAATAAAGACTTATATTAACTATATTAACTATCAAACTTAAAGTATAGATACAAAATTATAACAATTAGTGATTAATTCTGTTATATAATAGACAATAATTATTTTTTATCAAATGAGTATAAAATCATTACAAGTAGATAAAAGAAATTACTCATTTTTAAAAATGTGAATTGCTGAATACATACATTTTCACTTTCCTTAGCAACCTTGGCGGGCATCTTTGTTTTATCCGAGGATGCCATAATCTACAACATTATATTTCCTCATTAAACTAATTAATAAAGATTTTATTTGAAACAGTTAATATTAATACATTTTTGTTTAATAATATAATGTAACACGATAGATTCAATGAAACAAAGTGATCAGTGAGTAATCAGTTATTAGTATTAGCTTTTACCATTAGATCCTTAAATTTTAATCAATTACGTTGACGAATTACTCAACCATTGCAACTGTTGTGTTTCCTAAACGCGAATTTATACAATTTTGTTTGCATGACCTGATCTCTTAACCCAAAGTAAGCCACTGATGACTACCGAATATGCGAATCTTCCTTTCTTTTCAATTGATCGTGACTGGTCCTTCAATAAAAGACGAATACAAGCACAGTATACAGTAGCACAACTCTCTGTCAACACCTTTGACCAGTGTGACCAAAATAAAGTGCACATGCGTGAAATAAGTAAGTTAAGGGTTGGTTTATGGAAGCCGTAATCTGTTAACTTATGTCGTAATCGTAAAAAATTGACTAATCACAACCGAATTATAGAAAAATAATCGACTATAATTCGTCAATTTTTTACGATTACGGCATAACAGATTAGTCTGGCCGATTTACAATAGGTGATTTAAGCTTTAAGTCATAAGAAATGGACGAATCATAGTCGAGGACTAGAAGAATAATCAACTATAATTGGTCAATTCTCATGGTTTAAGGCTTAAATCACCTAGGGTGCATTCGTTTACGCAGTGTTTTGTGCATCCACTGCTTTCTCATCTGCTTGTCGCGTGATCGAAATTTACCGAACAGATAACTGCGTAAATAACTGCACGGATCGTACCTTCCAATAGAAATTGAGCCGATTGTTTGAATGATAAATAAAGAGACAATTTTATACATAAATTTATATTCGAATAATTAAAATGTAATAAAACTTTTTTATTGTATAAAAGATATTTTATTGATATTAAATTTAATTGATATAAATAATGGATATTATAAAAAATATTTAATCTATGAATTTTACTTAAAAGTTAGATATTAATTTTTTGTGAATTATATTTTATTATTCTTATTTTTTCTTATTTTTTCTTATTTTATTCTTATTTTTTTCTTATTTTTTTTATTTTATCTTATTTTTACTTTAATTATATCTTATTATTCTTATTTTATTTGGATTAATTATTTGTTTCTGATTCTTTTCGCTTCTTATTCTAATAAAATTCATTTTGGTGTTCGTTTACACATTACTGTGTGACGTCGCATCGTTTTTCTATTATATTGCCAGACAAACATTTTTGACTATTAAAAGCATAACTTTTCCAATGAAATAATTGTCATAACAAATAAAATTACTCTTGTGCATCCTAACACAGCATCACAACACCTTTATTTTGTTTATACACGGCTTATTGAGGACCGCAATCAGTAATAACAATAAAAAGTAATATTATGGGAGCGTCCTAGATGCGCATATTTTCAATCAGATACATCAGTCAGATACACCACATCAGCCGATGCCTAGGAATTTTCTAGTAAGCCACCTATCAAAAATTTTATTATTTAATTGAACAATCGGCAATGTGTCCGATTGGACCTCACCCAATATTATAAGAGTATAACTTAATTTTGGACAATACTAAAGCTCTTACTATTAAAAATTCAGAAGTAGTTTATTTCATTATCAATAGATGTCTTATGGAGCTAGTTTGTCATATAAATGTCGCACAAATAAAATTTTCTACCGATAGATAGTTTCTTGCGAAACCAAGATAGATGGCCTGAATCAAATTTGTTTTCGCTTTAAACTTAACTTTCATACATTAATAAGACAAGGAAAAAAAAGGATATTGTTAAGATTACTATGTTTCACACAGGGAATAAGGGATAATAATAAAATTTTCGAAAAGGCATAAATAAATAAGATCATGATGACGTCACTCAAAATTCTGCAAATAATGAGATAAACTTAAATTTGCAAAGTAATCAGTTTAGTAATGATTACGAGAGCATAAAAGAGATTTTTCGGAAAATTTAAAATTGTAAAATTTCACGATCCTCTGATAGCAAACCAAAATGATAACGCCATTCGATAGCCCTAAGTTAATTGTAAAATACCACGTTTAAATTTTCTTAATACTACCAATAATTTCCAAGATAATTCCATTTGTTTTGCAACTTTCTCTCAGCAATTCCTCTTACCCTCCTGAGTGTACATCCTGAGTAAACATCCAACATTGATCACACGTTCCGTTCTCGAGATATTCATAATTATTTATTTGTAAGTTATCGATTAACTAGGTATATTGTTATAAAATAAATTATAAACAATAAAATTTTATAAGATCAATTGTCATAAATATTTGATGATAAATTTCTATTAGCAAATATCCATAATAAATAATGTCAATTTACCTAATTCTTTCGACCTAATATAAAATCTTGTGAAAAACGAGAAATAAGGAAAGGAACAAAGAAAACCGCTCTTATGAAAGAATAACATTAAGCGATGACACCATCATCGACATACACGAATACACTTGTACCTTGCTCTATGTGTCTCTTAAAAATGTATCACCTGTAAAATACATACGTACCATGTAGTATATTTTACGAACACCTTATATTCATGTTCACCATAATAAACTATAAGATTTACGGAAACTTATAAAATCTTACGGATACAGTAAGCATATAAGCACTCAGAAAACAAAATCCAATTGAAATGTGAAATTAAAACGCAAATATTTAATTTAAAGATTTTATTAGAATTCAATAGAAATATTTATTCCCAATTTTAGGAAATTAAAATGACAAAATCCGTAATTTCTGAAATAAGGAAAATGTAATATTAATGCTTATACTCACTGTATTCACTAGACAATTTTAAATATAATAACTATACATTTCTTTGTGTACTACAGAAAATT